ATAAAGTACAGAGCCGCAACAAGGTCCTCAAGTCGCTAGCCGGCAGTACTTGGGGCAAAGACAAAGAAACGTTGCTGGCAACATACAAGGCAATAGGCCGGCCGGTTCTGAACTACGCAGCGCCAGTGTGGTCGCCTGGGACTAGTAGGACGCAGTGGACGAAGCTACAGACCGCACAAAACACCGCACTGAGGACAGCGACGGGATGCCTCCTGATGACGCCGGAACACCACCTGCACGGCGAGGCGCAAATGCTCCCGGTGAAGGAGCACAATATAATGCTCTGCAAGCAGTTCCTGATTGGGACCCACAGAAGTGGCCACCCGTGCAGACAGCTGCTTGCAGAGGAGCCCTCGCCTAGGCACGTCAGGAGGCATCTATATGAACTAACGGACGAAGTCCAGAGGTTCATTAAGCAACCTCTGGACCCGACAGCCTACAGACAGGCCTTGAACGGCATTCACAGGGACTCAGTCTCGAGTTATGTAGACTCTAGACCTGTGAATGCCGTTCTAGGCACACCACCCCCGGACATTGACGAGACGGAGCTTCATCTGCCTCGGGAGACGCGCACCACACTTGCACAACTACGCTCCGGCTACTGCAGCAGGTTAAACTCCTACCTGAGTAGGCTGAATGAGGATGTGCCTAATGAATGTCCGGCATGCGGAGAGACCCCACATGACTCGAAACATCTCTTCGCATGCCCGGCAAACCCGACATCCCTAACGACCTTGTCCTTATGGGCAAACCCCGCAGAAGCTGCACGCTTCCTAGGGTTGCCGTTAGTGGAACTTGACGACAACGACTGAGATACCAACCGATCTGGGCGGGGTTGTTGTAGCCGCTACAACAACAACAACAACAACTATATCCGAGTTCCCACGACAGTCGGGTCTACGTAACCGGAACGACCCAGATTTATATCTGGCCAAGGACTGTCACTCCAGCAACACTCCCCAAAAAGTCTTTGGGGAATTTGTATGCTTCTACAACAACAACAACTATATCCGAGTCTATGAAATAAAAGGCAAAAAATTAGTAAATATTTGCAAAGAATTTATTCACTTTATAAGTATTTAGTTTCTCCCCATAAGTCAGTGGCCCTCATGCATAAAAAGCGAGCTTAGGGTCCGACTCGATTTTCAGTATAAATTCGTAAGCTTAAACTCACTCCGTCAATGCAAAAGTTGAGTCTGAGCTTACTTTTTTTGCATAAGTCCCAGTAAGGTAAGAGGAACTTTTACATTAGCTGAGTTTAAGTATTAAACCGTGCATGCCCAATAGAAATAACTGCTTCACACTGTTAACGTATGATTTATTTCCATACACTTATGTAACAATGCAATGCAAGCACTCGAAGCAATTTTATTCTCTGCATACTGCCATCACATACACTATATGGTTCGATTTTGTTGTCTCTATACTGTTGGTTGTAAAATTGTGCAATCGCCACCTAGAAAAAACAAATCAAATATTTCCTGCACTGAACAGCGTTTTTCTATTTGCAATCATATTAACCTCATGCACCAGCACCACCGCCATTGGAAGAAGACAAAACCACTTACACTGATATTAAATATAATATCACTGCCTGCAACAGGAGTGCTTACGTCTTCGTATATCCATGTGCATAAAACATATAAGGGCTCTTCAGGATGTTAGCGAAATTGTCTTAGATTTTCAGTAGGAATTGCATTTGCAAATTTTATGCTTGCTGCCGTGGCAACTGTGTGCATTTTATTGTGGTGAATTTACAAATGAAACAAATATGCAAATGAAAGAGCATATGCACAAGATCCTGAACAGCCCTATAATGCATGCCTACAAATGCAATGATTGACTGCTTCAAATTGTGTACCTAGAATGAAAAAGGATAAATGCCATCATTGGTATCATTCAATGAAAGCTAAATTGATTACCGTCACTTAATACATAATAGGAAATGCTTCGGACGAACCAAAAATCCCAACATCCTCACAAGAATTTGACATGTAGGTCTACTCAATGAAGAAGACTGCTTTTATAGAATTCATGCAAGGCGATGAGTACTAATATTGATGAATTGCATTGACACTGTTTAATTCTTAAAGTGACCTATTAAGCAAGAGGGTAAAGTTAAATCGTAAATTAATAAAAATTGAACACACTGACCTACACCAATAATTTGAGTGGCTCGAATCACGTTCCATTTGACGACGATGCACGCAACCATTTTTCTGAAAATACAACAGTCTCATAAAGTTAATATTATTCAATATCAATATAGCAAAAAATTATACTTACAAAGTATTAGCGCCAAGTGCAAACTATTGCACAGAAACAAAATCAGATGCAAATTGCAAACTTGTATTTGTCGAAATTCACCAGCTGACAGTTGTCAACAATCACAAGCGATGATCGACTATCAACATCCTGAAGGTATAGTCGATTACGAAGATTTAAAATATCGATTTAGCAAATCTTTTCCTTTTTCTTATTTCCTTTGACAATTAATGGAAAGTAAATGGAAGGAATGTTTGATATATATAATCTTCACACATCGTTTGAGGTGAACTTTATATATGATAATTTAAAAAGTTGGAAAGTATGTATATGTGTAGGTGTGTTTGAAAGCTATAACACTTTTTTGTAGTTTACACATTGAACGTTTACATTAATAGTGTTTTCTTATTTGCGTGGTTTTCTCAGCATTTTCTCTAGGTTGTTAATTTTTTTCTTAACAAGTTGCACTCTGATCCGACAAAAGTGCAACATTGTCTACCCTTGTTTAAGCGTAATTGTGGACGTTTCCCAGGAGATATTGATTGATCGTTTGTAATAATTCTAAGTAACTTTTTTTCGTTATAATAAAAGTTGTACAATTATATTAAATTAATAAAACAATTTGTTAAGGAGTTGATGGAATAATGGGTTTTCAATTTGGAACTTTCATTTCGTTCAACCTTTTCATAGGGCGCTGGGGAACATCAACATAATGTCATAAAAGGGGGACAAAATTTGCATTGATAAAAGAAAAGGGTACAAATTTGAAAAGTAAGCAAGGCCAAACAAGCCGATAATTATGAACTTTTCGCGATTAATCGTTTACCTGGTACTATAATATAACCAATAATCGATTGAAAACGCGAATAGGCCATTTATTCGTTCAAAATGTTTTCGATAAAACTATAAGCGATTCGATTGTATTGCACTGGACGAACATAATCACATAACTAAATTTTATCTATTACAAAGAATACTGACGCGTAATACGGTGTGGTCAAAGTTTGCTTCAAAGTTTTAAAAAATTGTGAGTTAAAGGTTTTAACAAAAATGAGTAGCAAGAGGAATATGAGAAGACTTAAAAAAAAGCAAAGGGAGGTATATTGTAATAGTTTAAACAATGCCAATAGAATTTCTGAGATTTTGCAGTCTTCAATTCAACTAAAAGCAAATGGCGCATGTTCAAGTGGCGTCATAGGCTCTCCTCCTTTTTCTTCAGAGTTTGAAGATGTTATTAATTTCAATCCGGATACAGATACGGAACCCTCTTTTAGAAGGAAACTTTTAGATTGGTACGTTAAATATAGACCGCCACGTAAGTCATTTGAGGACTTACTTTCTCTTTTGCAAGAACAAAATTTGGATGTCCCAAGATGTCCAGAAACGCTTTTTGCCAAAAAAAGGCAAAGAGCAAATATTGAATCCATATCTCCGGGACTATATTGCCATATTGGCTTACGGCAACAGTTGCAAAAAATTGCACACATAATTGAAGGAGTTGATATCATTTTTATCGACATCAATATTGATGGTTTACCATTATACAAAAGCTCTCGTGCTCAATTGTGGCCAATTTTGGTACGAATAGTAGATTTCCCAGAAGTTTCCGTTTTTCCCGTAGGCATATATTTGGGAAATAAAAAGCCAAATAGCATATCTGAGTTTTTGAATTCTTTTGTTGTAGAAATGGAAGAAATTTTGAAAAATGGTGTTGATTTGGGTGAAAAATTATTGAAAGTTCAGATAAGATCCTTAGTTTGCGACGCTCCTGCAAAAGCTTTTGTTTGTGGTACACCCAGCCATGTCTCTTCTCATGGTTGCGGCAAATGTACACAAACTGGAAGAAAAGTTAATAATGTGCTAGTATATAGTTCAGAATCAGGGGAGTTACTAACTGACGACGATTTTCTGAACAGAAAATATCCAACGCATCATATTCAGAAATTCAAGAATTTGATGACGCCTTTAGAAAACGTCGGTGTAAAAATGATAAGCCAAATAGCTATAGATGGCATGCATTTGCTGGATTTAGGAATAATGCGCAAATTTTTGTTAAGATTACTGCAAGATAAAGTAAATTCTAAAGTGGAGAAAACCAAGAAAAACAAAATTTCTGAAATGTTACAATCTTTAGTACCCTTTATAACGAAAGAATTTGTGAGGAAACCCAGGTCCCTAGATGAAATCTTTAATTGGAAAGCGACTGAATTTCGTCAATTGCTTTTATATACAGGTGTTCTTGTTTTAAAAGGCAATATTCATGATGACCAATATAATGAGTTTTTACTATTACATTGCGCCTGTAGGATGCTCTTTTGCCCCAAAACATATGCTAAAAATTTATCCCTTTCAAAAGGTATGCTTGCTTTGTTTGTTCAAAATTTTTCAAACATTTTTGGAGACAGCAGTGTGACATATAACGTACATCAGCTATTACACCTGACTGAGAACGTAAAATCAATAGGTCCCTCACCAAGTTTTTCGGCATATGATTTTGAAAATTATTTGCAAATTTTAAAGAAATATGTTAAAAAACCAAGTCATATACTTCAACAAATTGTAGGTAGAGTCAGTCAGGAAAATTTAATAGCAAACGATAAGCCTAGAGGGTTCAAATCATTAAAAAATAAGGGTTTATGTTTTTATTTTAAAGATAATATTCTCACTACGAAAAACCCAGATAGTTTTTGTCTTATCAAACCTTTTACACCCATAGAAATACAAGGGTTTTCAGAAGACAAAATATGTAATAGGCAAAGAATTTTTGAATTTAAAAAGTTTTTTTTTTGAACCCGTTGACTCAATGACATTAGGGATATGCATGGCAGACAGTTCACCAACTTCTATTGAAAATTATTACCCTATTGAGAATATTGAATGTAAATTGATGGGTCTTCCTCATACTGATAGTATACTCTTGCTACCATTGTTACATGGCTGTTCTTAACTTAACAATATATATTGTAAATAATTTTTAAAGCAAATATTAACGTCCGAGATGCCGAAAGATATCAAGCGAGTACGCTTTCAAAATAACGAAAATATGCCTCCTCGTAGTAAGTTGTAAAAGACAGAATATGTATGCCCTAGTGCCGCAAAACCATCGATGGAACCATCGATATTATCATTAAATTCATTTAATATAATATGTGTAAATAAAATAATATTTTCTTTTCCATTTAACGGGTCACCCTAATAAACCATCGATCTTATCGATGGTGCCACTATCGATGGTTTTGCAGCACTAGCATCTACACTAAATATAAAATAGTACATATAAATTATTTTTTCTAGATAAGGAAGCAATTAAAGAATGTGCGGGATGTTGTGCTTTGGAGGTGAAGTTGACGAGTTTGCAAGGTAAACTATTTTTTATGCTTCGTGTTTTATTATTTTTGTTATGCTTACAAAATTCCGACTGCATCACCAAATATCTACAATAAATCATAAATTGACCTATCATGCTTATGAACTGTTTTTTTTTTCAGAAACGGTGGAAAACTTGAAGAACGAGATCATATGTAAGATATTTCTCATATTCAAAAGGAATTTATTTTATTCTTAAGCTGTATTGTTTTTAGCAACCATGACTGCCCAAAATTCTTCGGTAATGTCGGCGCTGGCAGAGCAAAAAGTAGTTACAGAAAAATTGGTTCGGCAAGATTCTACGGCAGGGTCGATTAAATCTTGTTTTCCTCTGACCTCTACAGAAGACTTAATTAAGATTAATGAAAAAGTGGTACCGGAAACCCGTTCCATGTTGGTGGGTATTGTCTTCGATCACGAAAAATTACGGAATGCAATGTATTAAGTTTATTTTCGACAGATTTCTGTAATAAGAACTCTGCTTCAACACTCACTAAGCAAAAACCTGAAATATGTGTTCAGTACTGACGTAATAATGGAGTACAACGTAGACGGAACCCACGGAAAAAAGAGCCTCAAAGAACATAAAAATTTCTATGCGGTTTTTTTGGGTAATGAACTTATACATAATACCAAGATAAATGTACATATTTTAATTAATGTATTTGTTTCAGAATCTATAATAAGCTTTACCAGCGCCGATGAACCAGAAACGCAACTACGAAAAGCACTCCAGTTGAACAAGAAGAGGTTTTTTCAAAAAAGGGCTCTCGCGGAAAAATCTTCGCAGCAACCGGGTTCATCAAATAAAAATCACGATGTTTAACTGGCTTTATTTTTTTTTAATGAATACCCAAAATTTTATTTTTTATTCATTTTTTTTTTGAGAATTTGTGTTAGTTTTAATTAGAATATATTTACCAATAGTGCAAATTTAAATTCATTTTTGAATACCTACCACTTAGAGCCTAAGAAACTTACAAATATGACTGAAATGTGCTTCATTTTAAATGAATTTATATTAATTTAACTAACCAAATCGTTATATAAGAATTTTATTTACTCTTTTACTCTTAGTATATATTACCACTTGTTTAAGATACCATGTATGTATCTAATGAATTTTATTTTTTATTTTTATAGCAATATCTATTTATTTTATTCGTTTTGTTGGTTTCCGAAGGAATAGAGCTGCCAAATAAAACTGCATTTCTTTGATTAAGCATTTTAATTCAAACGCTAAATTTTAATAAAAAGCTAGTTTTGTATACAATTTTTATATGAAATAAAATATTTTAAAACGTTAACTTGGATGTTTTTATTTATATTTTAACTGGTCTAAAACTGATTTTTTTCGGATTCTATTGGACTACTATTTTGTTTTACTAGTACGAACTGGTATTTTAACTGGTATATGCAGGTGCATAGCCGGACAATTGAAATTTCGTAGGACATCGCCGTGTTAAAAATACCAGTTGCTACCATGGAAAAAAGATAGAACACGAACTGGTTGAGCTGAAAAGCGAACTGGTATTATTCGAGTTCACAACTAGTATTTTTCCCTGCAGGGTACGTATATCTACTTTTAGGTACAACTTTTCGACAAATTGGTCCAATATGAAAATTTAGTACTCATCACTAGTGCGAAAAACAATAATGTGACATCACCGAAAGGGTGGATGCTGTCAAATCGAACAAGAGAGGACTAGTGGTTCGCGGAAGGCGCCACCTTTGTTTTACTGCATCTTGGTGTAAATGTACTTTTTGGTTTCAAATTGTACCAAAAGAGGACAATTGTCGCAACTTTATTATCACTGATGTACATTGATATTTTTCGATACATCGAACGGCGTTCATCGATTCATCGATTTGCATAGGATTTTTTAGATAACTAATATTTCGCAACAAAATATGTAATTAGCAAACTTGCACATAATTTGCCATTAATTGATGCAACTTTTTGGCCAGTCACTTCTCTTTTTTCACGATTGGAAAACTGAAATTGCATTTGGGATGAGATGTCAACTTTCAAAAACACCGATGCATCGGTACATCGACTATCATGCATCAAAGCAAATCATCGAATTTTCGACGCATCGATGCTTTTCCGAAATCCCTAAGTGCAATTCACAACCAAGCATGATACAAGAACACAAGATTGCGCCAATCGAGCTGAGAGCAACTGGGTGTGACGTCACATTATTATGAGAATGAGAGTGTAGTGAATAATCTAGAATAAGAAGAGGAGGAAGCGAACAAGTGGTGCGAAATAGTGATGTAAAACTAGGATGAATTGTACCTACTCTTCAGCTTCTTAAATTTGAACGTACACTCGGTAAAATCACATTATTTTAGGTGCATTTGGAACGTAGTAAAATATTGTTTCATGTAAGTCCAAAAGTTGTTATGGTACAGAAGGAAGATGTAGTCCCCTATCAAAAATATATGAACATAAAGTACATGTCTACTGTTTACGTACGTGTATCTACTTTTAGGCAAATAGGTACAATATGAATATTTAATATTCATCAGTAGTGCTCAAAAATAATAATGTGACGTCAGCGAAAGGGTGGAAAGGGTGGTGGCAAATAGGGAAAATTTCCTGCAAAACATGCAAACTCCACGGGATTTATTCCAAAACAAAAAATGTATATATTATTTATTATACTAGTGTTATAGATTTTGAGACGAGAAACACGATTCCACTGTTTGAAATTCAAAAAAAAATGTCAACTTCTCAATTTGAAAAATGCATTATATATTGCATCGAATATCTTATTTTTCAGTCGAGAAATGTAATTTTAAAATTACTACGGTGTATTTTTCTCAAAAACGTATGACTGAAAACATATGATTTATAAAAATGTAATTCATTTATAAACAATATATAATAAAATAAAATGAAATGTCTATCGTACTTCTTCTTCTTCTTCTTCTTCTTTATTGGCGCCTAAGCGATTTTGGCCGAGTCCAAAACAGCACGCCAGTCATTTCTCTTCTGTGCTAACTGACGCCAATTGGAAATGCCAAGTGAAGCCAAGTCCTTCTCCACCTGGCCTTTCCAACGCAGAGGAGGCCTTCCTCTTCCTCTGTTACCAGCATCGCGTCCCGCGTTGAATCTTTTCAGAGCAGGAGCGTTTCTGTCCATTCGTATGACATGGCCAAGCCGCTGAATTTTAATTCGCTGCACTATGTCTATATCCTTGTAAAGCTCATACAGCTCATCGTTAAATCGTCTGCGATATTCGCCATCACCGCGTAAATCTTTCGCAGAATCTTTCTCTCGAAAACTCCAAGAGCCGCCTCATCAGATGCTTTCATTGTCCATGCCTCCGCGCCATACACCAGCACAGGCATGATGAGTGACTTATAAAGTGTGATCTTTGTACTCAGCCCAAAGTAGCACTTGTGGAAAAGAGGGATTCTCCGTTGGATTTCAAGGCTGACATTGTTATTGGTGTTTATGCTGGTTCCTAAATAAATTAAGTCACCTACTTTTTCAAACTTGTATGTTTTAACTTTTTTAAATCACGATAACTGTAATCGTAATCTAAGTTCGTTAGATGAAGGATTACTGTAATCGCAATCTTGTTTTTTTAGCTTGTTGGGATTACTGCAATCCTAATCGTTTAGCAATCGTTATCCTTATCGCCCAGCTCTGCTTGTAACTGTGAACAGTGACGTGGGTGCCAAGACGCGTATGCTCTGACTGTTTGTGTGAGATGACAGAAGATACTTCGTTTTGTCCTCGTTCACCACCAGACCCATTCGCTTTGCTTCTCTATCCAATCCCGAGAAGGCAGAACAGACGTAGCCCTTGTTTTTACCGATAATATCGATGTCGTCGGCATACGCCAGCAATTGTACGCTCTTATAAAGTATTGTGCCTGAGCGGTTCAGTTCTGCGGCTCTTATTATCTTCTCCAACATAAGATTAAAGAAATCACACGAAAGGGGGTCCCCTTGTCTGAAACCTCGTTTGGTATCAAACGGCTCGGAGAGGTCCTTCCCTATTCTGACGGAGCTGGTGGTATTGCTCAACGTCATTTTACACAGCCGTATTAGTTTCGCGGGGATACCAAATTCAGACATCGCGGCATAAAGGCAACTTCTCTTCGTGCTGTCGAAAGCGGCTTTGAAATCGACAAATAGATGGTGTGTGTCGATCCTATTCTCGCGGGTCTTTTCCAAGATTTGGCGTATTGTGAATACCTGATCTGTGGTGGATTTTCCTGGCCTAAAGCCACACTGATTAGGTCCAATCAGTTCGTTGACGGTGGGCTTCAGTCTTTCGCACAATACACTCGATAATGCATTACAACCTATGCTTAGAAGGCTGATTCCGCGGTAGTTGGCGCGTATGGCGGGGTCGCCTTTCTTGTGGATTGGGCAGAGCCAGTGTTGCCATTTTAGCCATTTTCCGGCTAGATTTAGCCGGTTGCGATAGCAAACAGCCGAAGAAATTTCGATTTAGCCGGCAGCCGATTTGTTAGCCGTTTTGCAGAAAAAAATTAGCCATTTTTAGCCGATTTTGCTATTTGCCTTGTTTTCTTAAATTTCAAATATGTATATATGTTTCCATTTTTGACCCAAATCTGTTACCCAAAATCTGTTAAAAATGGCTACTAGCCCTATCGTGGAGAAAATTTTCATGTCAGGCAGGGTTGTATGAAATTGGGCCGATTTCGCTTATTTTTATTTTAAACAAAAAAGGAATTTTCTTCATAAAATGTTTGTTATAAATGTCTTAATTTTAAGTGTGAAGTTTTATTCGCAAAAAATATNTCAATTCTGCCTAAATTAAAAAACATCATTTTTGCCCACTCCCAAAAGTTTAAGGTAAGGGAAAAATTGATATTTTCAAGCACTATGTACACATATCGCTAGCTTAGAATGAAAAGTTGCTAAGTCCACTTTTTATGAAAACTCATATTTTGATATAGGAGGCTAAAGAAATTGAATACGCATCGTTTCGAAAATTATAAAGGTACTTGTTTTATTTTTTCCTCTTCATAAGCGATAAAAGGAAAATTTGCTAAGTCCAAAAGAAGCACCATAAATCCGATAAGGCCAAAATAATACGACATCTTTTAATAAATATCGAATCCTCCTCCGAATAGTTAAAGAAAATGGCTATAAGAAGATTTTTTCCTCTCCTGTAAAATTTTTAAAATGGGACTTAGCAACTTTTCTTTCTAAGCTAGCGATATGTATTTTTTTAAACAAACTTTTTTGCTGAGAACTTATTTAAATTCCAAGAACCGAATGCCAACTTGAATTAAAGGAACCAACACTGAAGTGAGTCAAAATGAAAATAAAAGAGCACAAATTTCTATGTAAAGCAAAACTCTCTGGGAATCCTACGAGACATCTGCCGGTCATATGACCGGTCATCTAAATTGGAGATCTGCAGTCTTTTGGCATCATATTTTACATCAGAATTGAAGGGATTTCTGAAAAATCTGACCAGTTCTTTTGTGTAACTGTGATTTTGCATCCCTTGCCAACATATGGCCTCGGTTGATGTTAACTTAAGGTCGTTATTTTACTGCCTTAAAATCGAAGGGAAATTTTTACAGCGTTTTTTATGTGTATTGGTTTCTATTTGAGTGTATTGAGAATCGGTCAGTCAGAGAAGGCCTTGTAGGGAAGCCAATAGGTTTGTTCGTCGAAAATCCAGCGAGAACTATCACTCAAAATGTCAGATAGTAAGAAAAAATGCTCCCAAATTCTCTCTCATGTAGAGAAACTTGCAATTTTCTGTACGAACGCAAATTTGCAAGTTTTTTTGCCAGCTAGTGTCCACGGTTGCATTTTAAACAAG